CTTATGGAAATTCTGCCCAAATTGTTGTAAGATGCTTATATGTTGCAATTGAGGTTTCATAAGGTGTTGTGGTAGTGATTAGACCAAGAAATTTAGGAAAGTTCCACTAAAAACTAAAGATTTCAGATTTCTGGAAATTCTTGCTTACATTCTGTCCGAATTTGTATCTGTGTGTTAGAGGCTGATTTGGCCTTAGGTCAAAGAAGAAAAGTTGTAGAGAATGACATTTTATAGGTGCCTACAAAATTTCAGCTCAATCAGAGCAACGTAGGATGTGAAAAGTCCAAAATACCCTTACTGTTTTAAGTATTTCCCAAGCAGTCCGTGTGATCAGTTAAGTCCAGTTTATCCCGTTTTTCGACTAGGATCCATTCTGATTTAGCTTTTTACCAAAACATGAAAGTTGTAGTATTCTGAATTAGCTTTCAAATGCCTCTAAGAACACCTGATTCGGACTTGTGTACTCTGAGATATGTCCATTACAGTGTTCTGCGTTTAAACAGCCGACGAATTGGTTTCTGGTTTAGTAATTTGAGAATTTGACTGAGTTACATTAGGAACTGGACTAAGTGACCTTCATGAATGTTGTAGATCTGTGTCTTAGCTTCGAAACGGCATAGGTTTTGTCTCAATCCGATAAGCGTAGCTTTGGATATGTTATTTCCGCATTCGTATGTCAAATCTGTCTTGTGCTAAGTTGAATTTCTGCACTTGTGATTGTTATAATTCTTGTTATTATGATATTGTGAGCCTATGGAACGGCTCTTGACATGAATTGCTGATATGTATAATGTTGGGTTGTGTTTGAGAAAAACCATGAAGCCTAAAAGGCTGGAAAATTAGGTAAACACAAAGGGCATGCTGCCCGAATTTTTACTCGAGGACTAGAAAACTATATTAGCAACTTGAGTGAAGGTTAAGTACTTATTACTTGAACTAGCGAGAACCTTGGCCACTATGTTTCTTGAGTGTTATACGTTAGGACTTGGACGAACTTGTACCCTTGAGAAATGAAATAATGATTGCTCGAAATATGTTTTCCTTGTACTTTCAACTCGCAAGACAATTTCAAGTATAAATATTACAAAGTTTTACTGTTTAAAAAGGCGAGCAAGTGTTTCACGACTACTGTCCAAGTGAATTTCAATTTCTTGATTCTTATTGAACGAAACGTCTAAGTTTCGAACTCTAGTCATGTTTCAAAGTTCTCAAATTGAGTTTTATCGCAGATTTGGACTCCGAACTCGGAGTATAACCTGAAAGTGACCAGTAAAGGCACTATATCTTGTGGTGAGTGCTTTCAAATACTGAATTGCACTAGATACTTGAACTGGATACGTGACCAATATGAGTACTTGTTATATACGTGAATTGACAGGGCAAGAGTGTACTTTATCGCACTTGCCCTTACGTGATATACTTGTTTATTGATTGCAATTGACTTGATATACTTGATGTGCGCACTTCCTGGAATTCCAGAAACCCTGTGGCGAGTTACTCTAGTCGAGCCGGCAAGGGCTTGGTCGATTGGGTAACGAACCCTGGGTCTCTTATTTTGTCGAGTGGAGTGATACCTCCTCGGCTAATCGGTATACTCGAGTATTACCACCCATGTTTATTGAGGATTTTGGGCCCAGTAGGGGGTGTGAATGGTGGACGGAGAGTCGTGTAAGTGGTGCTCTACTGGATTGGTTCCTTTACTTGAAAGTTGACGGAGTGTCAACTACTACGTGATCAAGCTCCTGATGATGAATGGAAGTTGGCTCCTGAGGGCCATCCGTATCCTTATGCTTTGGATTGATTATTGCTTATTGGATTATTGTTGATTTTGAAAAACTTTTACACTCGCTCATTTTGAGATTTCTACTTGACGTGTTATTGCTCACATTTATGAACTCTTCATGCTCGTTACTTTGCTATATCGAAAACTTGTACTTATAAATAATGGTCAATTTACTATTTGGAATCTCACTGGGCTTTTAGCTCATACCACGTTATTTGTTTTCCTTACAGGGGGTACGAGTGACGCGTGAGACTTGTAAAAGACTAGCGTAGCCTTTTGTTTTGACTTTTGACTTTTGGTCTTGTACTCGCGCTATTCCTTGAATGGAACATGTTGTACTTGGATTGTATACATTTTGAACTAGTTTGGTGTATTGAGGCTTTGTACCTCGATTTCTATCAATGTAAATTATAAGCTTGAATTGCGGATATTATTTATGGTTCATGGATGTGTGTACATGACTCGATTGAGATAGTGAGTGAGTCCTGGCGAGAGCTGGGCAGGCGGTCCGCCGAACCCTTTGGTACGCCTTAGGGGAAGGTGGGGTCGTCACAAAATATCACCGATTTTTTTTTTCTAGCCTCAAAATATTAAGTTGTGCACCTTTGCAACCTAAATCCTAATTTGCAAATAAATGAACAAATGAATAGTTCAACTTTAGAATAATAACAAAATTACTCGGCCCCTCATTCAAAGACTTTCATAATAAACGTAATTATCTTCAAACTTTTCATTGGACGAACATTTATAAAATATGAAGAAATGAGGAAAAGTTAGTCAAAAAATAAGGTAGATCAGAAAGAAAAATATTTTGTCTCTTATGTTTAATCTACTTTGCACATAGGATGTGATGATATACTTATGCCTAAGGTACATATCAGCATTATATGTGCTTCCAAAATCAAGTATTTTCAGCACTTTCCACTGCTTTTGTGCATGTGTGCACTGAAATCAATTTCTTTCAATTTTATTTTCCATTTCAGTATTTTTTCCATCCTAAACTTGAAATGGAAGTTTCTGCATTGCAAAAAAATAAATAAATAAATTACTACGATTCTTAGAAAACATTGTGCAGACTGAAATTTCCTTTTTTTTTAATTTACTTAAGAAAAAGAATTATTATTTGAATCAAATTTTTTCACCTTCCAAACTTTGATTGCTAAATTTGTTTTGTTTAACGTGTATGCAAAAGAGACCATTTTGGTCTCCATCCCTCGAACATTGGGTATCCAAATTGGAATTTCTCGTAAAAGTAAATCGCAATACTTGCCAAAATTTTGGGTATCCCTCGAACATTGGGTATCCATTTTGGATTGCAATTTATTTACCAAAATTTATTTGCTTACATCATCATTACAATTTCCAACACACCATTTTATCTTCCCAATTACTTTTTTATCTCACATACATCACATCACAAAAAGTGCTACAGTAAAAATATCTCTAATAATTCACAATCCAAACAAAATATTCCGAGGGAAAAAACAGTGTGCATATATATATGAGTAAATATACTTGAATTTTTTGGCAAGAGGCTTAAAGTCTATGCTTAAGTGATGAGATTGCGTTAAATTGTTTTGGTATTACAACTTGTATTAAAGAATAATTACAAAATTAGAATAATCAAAGCAACTTTAATGTTTCTTTTTTTTCATATTTTCTGGCTTTACTAATTTTACTACATTGTGCAACAAAAAAAAAAATCTTACTAAATGAGTGCTTTAGTGATGGCAATAAGAGTTAAATCCTAGCATATTATTGGAGTGATTTTAACCTGTGGGGCCAATTTCTAGCTCTAAACCACATAATAAAAAAGGAACAATTATTGGAGAAAATTTGAAATGCGAACCGAGCAAAACTGTTCTTACTGCGGTGCTTGAGAACAAGATGATTAATTAAAAAAAACTTTGAATTTGAGAAGTTGAATGAGAACAAGAAGATTTCTTAAAAGTCGAGTTTTTATTTGTCACTACTCAGGCCAAAAATGAATACATTCTTATCCTAATCAGATTCCACTCAAATTAATGCCTAGACCTGTTACATCATGGCCTAAAATCATAAATGAGAAATCAAACTTGATTTTTCAATGGTTTTCGATTGTTGACTTGTCAATGTAACCCAGCAAAAGTCTCTCTGAGGCTTCAATCAGATATTTCTTTACTTCGGTGAAGTATTATGTCTTTGCTTGAAAATTTGAGGAGACAGCATCCCGTCAGCCGCCAAGGTGAAAGAGTACCAATTATTTCTAGTGTATTTTTGGCTTCTTTAAAACAATTTTGATATGATTTTCTTCACTAGCATGTAGGTGTTTCCCTGACGTCTTCTTCTTTGTATTTTTTTTTTTAAAGACACGTATATATTTGATAAACTTTGACGGCTTTCATCTATACTAAAAAGTTTCAATAAACTATTTTCAATGACTTGTATAACAATCTTATATGTAGATTTAAATCAACAGAATTATTAAGTTTCTTATGTTTAATCGTCTTTATATGTAGGTTATGTTGATGTATTTACCCTTGAAAATATGCATCAGCATCAGTGACGAATTCAAAAGTTTAGTGGGCACGAATCATCAATGATATTATAGCAAATAAAGCATATTAAAAGCAAAATGAAAGCACGATAGATTATAATTAGATGCAAGAAATAAAAAAAAATAAAAACAATGTATAAAGAAAAATGTGGAAATTCGACTCTATGCTATTCTGTTTAGTGTTAGTGTAAGGCAATTCCTTGGCTTTCCTATAAAACTTTCTGGCTTTACTAATTTTAGTGCACTGTTACCACAAAAATATTAATCCTAATATATTTTGTCTATCGTAGCAATATTTGGTTTTGAACAACGTAATTTACACAAAAACTATATAATAAAAAAAAAGACAAAAGAAGAACTTTCCTCTCCCCCAATCCCAGTTCTCATTTTAACTTGTTAATTTTATGTTTATGTAATTTTCTTAGTAAATTGTTTCAAATCATTTCTGAGGTTAAAATTTCTCAATGATGAAGCAAAAAAACGAATAATAAATTCTTTTCGAAATCAGATTCTTGAGTCTTCCATTGTTGCCTTGTCAATGTAAACGCAGCAAAAGTGAAATATGCTTTCCAAGCCTGACATTCATAGTCACATCAACGGTGCATTTCTTCCATCCAGCTCTGTATATCTACCTGCAACATAGCCGAATGCAATGTATTTTTTCCGACATTTCACATGATCATGGATGGCTCAACCCATTTCTCTGTTTTCTTACTCGTCGCAATAATTTTACACTGTTCTTCCAGCAAAACTGTAAATGCAACTTGCTATGCAAGTGAGAAACAAGCTCTTATGGACTTCAAGAAAGACTTGAAAGATCCCCATGGCAGACTCTCGTCTTGGATTCACGACGTTGATTGCTGCAAATGGGAAGGAGTTGTTTGTAGCAACCGAAGTGGCCGCGTGATTCAACTTCACCTTCAGAGTCCTGATCCTGAAATTTATGTCGTGGCCGAAGGTGATGAGGTGTTGGTTGCTCCTAACTTACCATTAAGCGGTAAAATCAGTCATTCGTTACAAAATTTGACTCACTTGCGTTACCTTGATCTAAGTCAAAATAATTTCATTGGAATTCCAATTCCCAGTTTTTTTGGTCTCTCAGAAGTCTAAGGTATCTGGATTTATCTGGAGCTGGATTTCAAGGAATGGTTCCCTATCAGCTTGGAAACCTATCAAGTTTACGCACTTTAAGCATAGGAGGCCATCGGTTCGATCTTCAAGTTGATAACCTGCAATGGTTGGCTGGTCTCTCTAATCTGGAGCACCTAGACATGAGTGGCGTGGACCTTAGTACAGCGTCTAATTGGCTAGAGGTGATTAACACGATCCCTTCTTTGGTAGAGATACATCTGTCCTCTTGTCAACTTGATTTAAGTTCTCATCATCTTGGCAGAGATACATTTGTCTTCCATGCCAACTTTTCTTCTCTTACTGTCCTAGATCTTTCTAGAAATTTTCTTGGACACCTCATCCCTAGATGGATTTTCGGTCTTACTGCCCTTGCTTCTCTTGATTTAAGTGAGAACTGGTTTGAAGGGCCATTGTCCAGAGATCTTTGGAACTTGACTTCTCTCAAATACTTGGATCTTTCTTTCAACCATCTGAATGGTTCGCTACCAAACGAGCTTATTCATCTTAACAATCTCATTTCTCTCAACCTTCAGGAGAATCACTTGAATGGTCCAATTCCAAGCACAGTTGGCAACTGTACCAAGCTAAAATACCTTTCGCTAAATGATAATGCTCTATCTGGTTCAATTCCATCAAATTTAGGAAAACTGTCATCCTTGCAGCTGTGGAATGTATCTCACAACAAACTCACTGGAACTCTTCCTAAAAGTCTTGGGCAGCTTTTCAAACTTGAAGAGCTTATTATTTTCGACAATTTAATGGAAGGTGTTGTGAGTGAGAGCCACCTAGACAATCTGACAGCTTTAAGGTATTTTGATGCATCTGGAAACTCCTTGACCTTAAAAGTAAGTGCAAGCTGGACTCCTCGTGTCCAATTTGAAGTACTTGGATTGAGCTCGTGGAAGCTGGGTCCCCAATTTCCTACATGGATCCGATCACAAAAATTCCTTCAGTATTTGAACTTGTCATTCACAGGAATTTTAGATACCATTCCACCTTGGTTTTTCAACTCATCATTGGATATCGTAGACCTTTCTCACAATCAAATCCATGGTAAGAGTTCAATAGCTATTCTCTCTTGATTATTCAACCCATCATTGGTCCACGTGGAACTTTCTCACAATTAATTTTATGATAAAAGTTCAAATATCTCTAAAACTGTTAAAAGGTTTATATGCACACAACAATCAAACAAATTCAATTGCCTACACACCCAATTAATTTATCATTGATTGACATAATTAGAATTTAATTTCCAACTATTTGTTTTCAGGAGGCATCTCTCACGCTTTGTGTGAAGTGAAGAATGAAAATCAAGGACTTTCGTATCTGGATCTTGGGGACAATTCTCTATCAGGAGAAATTCCTGACTGTTGGATGAATTACTCACACTTGTATCACATCAACCTCAACAGCAATAACTTCACCGGAAGCATTCCAAGGTCATTGTTTCATTTGGAAGATCTGGATTATTTAGGTTTGGGTAATAACAGTCTCACTGGTCCGATAACCTTTGACTTTGTAAATCATGAATAAATAAGTTTGGAATTCGGAACCCCACAGCAGACTTGTGGAGGCATTTGATGTTTGATCCTATGGGTAAAAATAAGATAGACATCAAAGTGACTTTGTGTGCTGTTGGCGATGTAATTTTGTAATTTTTAACCGTAATGGATGCACCAGTGTTTTGAAGCTATGACTGTTAGATTCCACCTAATGGTCATTGTTATCTACTTGATAACAATAGGAAATGACGTTTGTACCCCTCCTCTTGATGTAATTATGTAAATGGAAGAAAAGTCAATATTACCAAAAATGCATATCAAACTGTAAACTTGAGATGAACATTTTTATTGGGAGCAGTTCAGTTTTTTGATCCAGTATTGGGCCCACGTACTAAAGTGGTCAGAAATGTTTTGATCAAAATAAATTTGATCACCAAAATTTCTCCTTTTTCTTCAAATTTAGGACAATAGATGAAAATTCAATAATTCTCATAGTCAAAATCAATTTATCTTTAACCTTTTTTTTTTCCCGAAACGGTAGAAGTTTTTATTTCTACTAAAAGAGAAATTACACTATTCGAGTAAAGGCTCAAGTTTTTCTTCACAAAAGTGTACTGAAATACTGAGGATCGAAGAATTCCTCATCTAAATGTAAATGCATTGCCTGCTGACTCAGTTTATGACTGAGACAATTAATGCTATCATTAGCGGACTGAAACTCAAAAGAGCATATCGTAAACATTAAGCTAAGATCTGTTATTTCTTGTATGTGGGCTGCTAGTAGCATGTTGCATGAAACTTGACAGTTGAGAAGCTTGTAAACATGTAGGCTTGGTGTCTGAAGTTTGATACTAAAGCAGCCACGTTCCTGAAGCTTGCAAAGTGCCAACCGTATAGCCACAAGGTTGTCCAGTACTGGTGATCCGGTGCTTCTTTCTTTCATCAGCCACACTGCACTTAGTTGATGCAATCTGTTTTTTGTTGTAATACCGATTCCCATGTTCAGACCCTCGAGATGCTGTCCTACATGTACACTAATGGTCAGTGTGTTGGTATCTTCGACCACCCTCTGCTCTTGTGCATCAGCTATATCTGTTTCTGAGATGCTCACTTGTTGTTCAGTCTGTTGGGATTTCAAATATTCCTCCCATTCCATAACTGCCTTTGTAATCACTTTCATTGGATGTCTTTCTTTGTCGAACTCTACTGTATTCCTGGCCTTCCAAATTTGCCAAAGAATGTCCACTGTCAATGCTATATGTTCCCTTCCTTCCTTCCTATCTGTGACGTCCATTAGCGTACTCCACCATTTCCTGAAATCGCTTGTAAACTGCTGCAGACCATCCCATTGCAACGGCGCCATCTTCCAGATCATCCTTGCGGTCTTGCACTGGAAGAAAATGTGCTCCACTGTCTCCATGTTTTCACCACATTGCTTACACATTAGGTCACCTTTTCCCATTCTCCGAAAGATTGCCTCTCGACCTGGTAGCACTTGATGGAGACACTTCCATAAAAACACCTTGTGTTTGTGCTTTACTGGAAGACCCCATAACTGTTTCCAGATTTTCTTATTTCCCCCTGACCAGCTTGTTTCCCCCTTGCCATTCAATTGCCCCATAGGCTGCGTGGCAAGACTTGTGAGTGCTGCATATGCCGAGCTAACCGTGTAGTTCCCTTTTTTGCTATGAGTCCAAAAATAGCAATCTGGTCTCCCTGTCAAGCTTATAGGTGTTTTGAGTATATGAGCAACTTCATGTGAACTAAAGAGCCTGAAGATGAGAGTTGATTTCCACCTAAAGTTGGCTATCAATTCACTAACTGTTGTGATATTGCAACCAGGGGGTTTTGTGGATGCAATCTTACCACCCTTTCCTTCCAACAACCAAGCATCTTCCCAAATTCTGGTGTTGTTCCCATTTCCAATCTGTTTCCTAGCTCCGCATTGCACCACCTCTCTTGCGGACATTAAACTTTTCCATATCCATGATGCATTTCCTTTGATTTCGCAGTCGAAGAGGGTTGTTTTAGGGTAGTACCTGGCTTCCAAAACTTTGCTAAGCAAAAGATTGGGGCATGTGAAGAGCCTCCAAATCTGTTTGCCTAGCAAAGCTTTGTTAAAGCTTTGAAGATCTTTGAAGCCAAGACCACCAGCTTGTTTTCCAGTTGACAAAGTCTTCCATGAAACCCAATGCATTTTCGTTTGACTATTCGCCTCCCCCCACCAAAATCTTGCCATCAAAGAGTTGATGTCTTTGCATAACCTCACGGGCAGCTTAAAACACGACATGGCATAAGTTGGCATCGCCATAGTGACAGCCTTCAGCAACACCTCTTTCCCTGCTTGGCTAAGCCGTGTATTTCTCCAGTTGAGGATTGATTTTTGGCATCTGTCTCTAATGAAACCAAAGATTTGCGCTTTGGTTCTTGTGATTACCATTGGCAAACCCAAATACTTCCCCTACTTCACTACCTTAACCTGTTGTAGACTGCTGCAAATATCTTCTTGTGCTTGTTTCGCCACATTTTTGCTGAAGAAAACTGAAGATTTTTCCATGTTGATCATCTGTCCGGATCCTTTTTCATACATTTGCAGAATTTTCATCACTTCTTGAGCTTGCTGCTTATCGGCTTTGCAAAAAACTAACGAGTCATCGGCAAAGAAGAGATGAGTTAGTGAAGGTCCGGTTCTACTAATCTGCATTCCAGTCAATTTTTTGCTTCTTTGTGCCTGAGCCAGCAAGTTGGAAAACCCTTCTGATACTAGTAGAAACAAGTAAGGCGACAATGGGTCTCCTTGTCTAATCCCTCTTGACGGTATCACATATCCTTTAAGCTCACCATTTATGTTAAAGAAAAAAGAGACTGTTGAGATGCATTCCATTATCCAGTTTATCCAGGTATCACAAAAACCCATTTTAATCATGATTGCCTTCAGATATCCCCACTCAACCCTGTCATAAGCGTTAGACATATCTAACTTTAGAGCCATAAACCCTTTAGATCCTTCACTTTTGTTTTTTAAGTAGTGCAAGTACTCATGAGAGATAATGACATTGCCCAAAATCTGTCTTCCAGGTATAAAAGCAGCTTGGTTTTTGCTAATGCAGTTTCCCAAAACTTTTTTCAATCTATTTGCTAGGATTTTGGAAATGGTTTTATAGAGTACATTACAAAGACTTATAGGCCTATACTGCTTCACCTCAGTGGAATTATCGACTTTGGGAATGAGTGATATGGTTGTGTGATTCAAAGCCTTTAACATATGACCCGAATGATTTAAACTTTTGATTGCTGAAATGATGTCATTTTTAAGAAAGTGCCAATATTTCTGAAAGAAAATTGGTGTCATGCCATCAGGTCCCGGGGCTTTGGTTGGATGCATAGAGAAAAATGCATCTTTAATTTCTTTTTCCTTGACTGGTTGGGTAAGATCAGTGTTCATGTGATCCGATATTGACTGTGATATTCCCTCCAGTGTGAGGCCCCAGTTCGTTCTACGTTGATAAAATCATTAATTGGGTGGTAACGTTTGGTTTTGGGAGTATTTCAAAAACCCTAAGTAGGGATTAAGATTTAAACCCTAAGTTCCGGTTAAGATTGAAAACCCGTTTTTCTACATTTTCTTTATTAGAAAATTCCCCAGATAATTTTTATGAGTAAATATAGTTTTTAAATGATTTTTCTAGTATTGGTTAGATTTTGAGAAATTAAGAACGTATATCGGACGTGGGACCCACTAGTGCGAAAAGTTCGGAAAAATTCGGCCAATTAGGTTAAATTCCGAATACTGTGTAAAATTTATCGGGTGTTAAGAGATAAGTAGAGAGTGAGATATGATTGATGTGAGAGAGAAAAGAAAGGATAGGAATGCATTAATGGTGGTGACAAGTGTCACCATTTCATTGGAGAAGACTTAAGAATTACTATTCACTTTCTTGACTTTTTTGACCAAAGGATTAAATATCTCAAAAATGCACAAAAATCACCATTTTTCTTCTCTTGGTGGCCGGTTCTTCTTGAGCAAGGAAGGAAGGAAATTTCTTCAACTTTCAAGCTTCTACTTGGTGCAAATCACCCAAAACCATTTGTTACATCCAATTCCACTCCATAACATCTTTCCTTTTAGTGATAGTGAGTGCTTTAGTGAAGCTTGTTTGAAGGTTTAAGGTGTCCCACATCCTCCTCTCTCTTGTTTCTTGGTAAGTGAAGCTTGAACACCCTCTTACACCTTATGAAGCTTAAGTTATGCTTATTAGTGATTAAAGTGCTGAAATTTCTGGTTTTTATCTTGGTTTGAAGTGATTTGGTGAAGTTTTCAATTTTATGATGAATTTTCTGGTTTAATATGAATGGGATGTTGTGGTCATCTATGATGGTTGATAATGAGGGGGAAAGACTCTAGTAGGTGTGAATTAGTGATAATTGCAATCAATTTCTGTTTTGGACCAAACATTGAAAAATTAGGGTTCTTGATTCTTCCTTCTGCCCGAATTTATATCTCATAGTTAGAGGCCGATTTGGCCTTAGCTCAAAACATGAAAGTTGTAGGTATTGATGTGTTTGAGGTGCCTGTA